GCAGTTTTTCATTTCTGACAATGTTTAAAGCTTAATTTGAGCCCAGGCAGTGATAAATAGGCCTTAGATCTCACCTGGCTTCGGTAACCTCTTGACCTAAGCGTATCAGGTAATTTGTCTCAGACTGCAGATCCCGATAACTTATTGCAGCCTCTAATCTAAATAGACTGCTGGACGGTGCCCTTACTTCACCCTGGTAATCTTGGCCTGATCCCGTGGACGCAAGGGAAGGGAAGGAAGGCGACAACTCACTTGCAGGAAGCAGACGATGGAAGTTGAATCCCTGTCCCAGTGCTCACAGCTGGAATTGGTAACACGCCGTAACCACCAGGAATTAGCATTCCCAGATACTTCATGGCAGGGGGGACTTGTTAGTGTCATTACTGTTATTATCACTAGAATGATTAAGATAACTTTTAAATCGGGATTTAACTTTCCTTCCATAAATGCTGCTGATTGCTCCAGCAAGCCTATACATACCCATGCCTGTGAATGTGTGTGCCTACAGATTACTTGGGTACACGTATATACATACACATTTATATATATGCTTGAGTCTGTATATGAATAAATAAACTCTTTAGACAGAACAGCATGACAGCAAAAGCTTTTAGATGAAAACATGGTGTGAAAATGTAGCATGTCTCTTCTCTTTATGTTCAATGGCAAATGCAAAGGAAATTTATAGCTTAAAATATGTGCAATCATTTTTATCTGATTACCTGTAGATGCTCTGTATGGCTCTGTACAAGATACAGTATATTCTGCGTCTCCTGCAGAGAGCCTGGTTTATTACAAGCACAGCTCCATTCTTTCACATGTCTTTATGGATTTGAAGGAGCTGCTTAGAATTTGTCACTTATTTTTAACAATATAATTTTCTCTGGAAGGAACATTCTTGCTAAGCTTGACATGTGATATTTAATCACATATTGACCACTCAGTATTATTTTAATGCTTCCTGTCAGCTACAGTACAGCAGGCAGAGTTCAAGCAACACATTTGCCTGGAGTTCAGTATTCATTTAAATCAAATTTGTCAGCTTTCAATTTTTTTAAATGTAATATTTTATTTTTATTAAACGCAAGTTAATAATGCCTTGTCAGGCCAAGGGCATGTTTTAATGTGAACAACTTGGATGTTAAGTGAAATTGGAGCCATAATGCCCTGTTAATGGAGTCATATAATCATCTTAATGCCAGCATCTCAACCTCACATAAACACATGCTGGCTCTGGGCTCCGATATTTCAGAGAGCCTTTTCCGACGTGGAAAAGCAGCCGCCCCTCTCACGGCACTCATCCCGGCCTTGGCGACGCTTCCATCCCCTTCCCTTGGTGCAGGAGACCAGAGGAGCCATCAGGCACCTTGGAATGGACAGGGAGGGAACACCCTACTCTTGTAAACACCTAATTCCACAAAGCTGCTGCTGGTAACATAACCACAATGAGCAACGCATCTTCATTGCCCATCTCCCCAACCAGGGGCACCCCAAGCTGCAGCAAGGGCACTTTGCCTCCTGCACAGGCAGGAGGAAGGGGAAAGGAGTTGAAGAGTCAGGACACAGTCTCTGTTCTACCCCCGTTATTCTGTTGCCAGCCAAAAAAAACACTTTGGGCTCAAGCAGATGGGGCTGGAACCAAAACAGCCCCCTGGGACGAGCACAGAGAGGGCAAGTGCTCCCAGCCCACGTGTGGGTTGCACCACGAGCTGGAGCTGATGCTCGAGGTTCTACAACCCCTTCCCAGCCCTCGCCGGGGCCCTCACGCATATATTGGCTCCCATGCTGCATTTTGGGGACCATCAGGACGTTTCCAAGAGAGGCAGAGCAAGGGTGCTCGAGGCCCTGCCTTGGAGGCCAGGGGCCACGGCTCCAATACCACACATCTCCTCTCCCATGCCCTGGGTCTGTACCAGCGCAATGCAATTAAAGCTAATGCACTTACATCATCATAAAACTGGTGTAACAGAAAATCAGCCTGAAGAGGTTCACATCCATTCATATGTTCATTCAGACTGTCCAGACATAATAAGGCTGTCCAGATTCTAATGATCAAAACTGCACAGAGCTGGCAATAAGCATATATATTAATTATAACTGTGCTGTTCAAACACAAATGAGTTTACATAAGAATAATTAGAATCACAATTGACCTTTTGTAGAAACATTGGGTTATACTTAATTCTAGCCATCAGCATTCAAAACATTTATTTAAATACTATTCCTTCTTCCTAACTCATAATTATATACTTTCTGAAAAATATATTACAGCAAACCTAGAAGGGCTTGTACCCGGTGAAGCCTGGCAATAGGAAGCAATTCTGTATACCAGCACACTCTCACACTGCTGGCACATAGGAAAGTGATTTAACATGTAAAAAGCAAGAGTAAAACATATAAACATATTAAAACAAAATGATTGAATTGGCATGAGGAAAGCAGTTTCGTATCTGTCATTTAAAGAAGACCAGTAACATCTAGACAGATAAGAACCAGCCCCACTCATTTGCTTCTCTAATTTCTGTACTGCCTGCTTGTTTTTTCTTATATTAGCTAGAGAAATTACTTGGGCTAAGAACAGGCATCCAAAGCAATGGGGCGCTGCCACCTTCCCCCTCTCCCCACCTTCCCAGGCTGGAACCCCCTCTCCAGGCACCTTGAAAATCACCTCTGCTGGATCAGAATAAGGAGGAGAAAAAAAAAAAAAGAGAGGGAAAAAAAAAAAAAAAGAGAGAGAGAGGCAGAAGAGCAGAAATTATTTCTCTAATAAGAAAATGGGAGCGAAGTCCTGTTAATGTGGCTGCTTTTGCAAGCCCCAGGCTATTCCACGCTCCCTGGCGGTGCCGGATGCGGGTCCGCGAGCGCCGGCCCAAGAGCGGGGCCAGCTGGGCGAGCCCACCACGGCGAACGTGCCTGTGGTTGTGTCTCCGAGAGGTGGCACTTATGAATAATGATATGCATAATCTATCTTGTGCCCAGGCAGGAGGGAAAGCATTAGTGGACAAGCCTGAAGGCATGGCCGTCTATTAAAGGTTGCTTGGGAATTCTCCGCAGAGTTCGGGCAAAACTGTGCTGCTAAACATGGCTGGGGGATTTGCATGTTTAAGAAAACAGGACTAATTGAATACCACTCTCTTCTGGCTGAGTGATTTGCATTTCTTACAGCTCAAATTACAGAGGGTGAAATACAGTTTTGCCCTTTTATTGTTTATTTGATTGCGAGCTTTCATTGCTAACTTTACTCTTTATTAAAGCACTGCAACACAAAATGTCAGAAAAGGCTCAAATCCCCAACCAATTATACGCACCTAAATTCTAAACCCTGCAGAAATACACAGTCCTGCTTTGCTTTGTGGCTTCGTGTAGACACCTTGAGTTAAACACCCAAGGCTCAGGATCTTAGTAATTAAACACAAAAACAATTAGGAAATTGAATAAAATTTGCTCCGTCCTTGCCAGTAATATGGATATAATCAAAGCCTGCTCCTCAAACAGCAATCAGGATACTATATCATACGGAAGAGATTTTTGGTTTTAAAATAATCCAAGAAGAAACAGGGTAGATGTCGGTATCCATCCCTGCCGGAGAAACATCCATTACAGCCACCCTTGTTTTATATCTATCCATATAAAATCACTTTTATTATTAAAGTTACTATTACTTAAGAACAACAATTGTGTTTTTTGTTTTAACCCATGTAGATCCAACCCCTTTACACTGCCAACTGCAGAGCAACTCCTTTCCCCATGCCCAGGCTAGCCTCATTCACAGAGCAAAACCAGGAATGAACTCCACATTTTGGGGGAGCACACAGCCCCAGAAACCCCTCCAATGCAGTTGGAAACCAGCCTGGTGAAGAGGCCCCCAAGAACCCACCTATTTCTGTAAGCAATGGGGTAGCAGCCAGTGGGGATGCGCTCTTCAAAGGGGACCCAGCCTTCTCTTCATCAGGGCCCGTAGCTAGGGACACCACAAACACGATGCTCACTAGAGGTGAAATACTCAGAATAACCAAATAAAGTTTTGCCTTACGGGTTCAGGCGGCCAACGGAGCAGTTCTGCCCGCTGGCCTTGGGGTCTGTGTTTCCAGACTGGGGCTGGCTCTGCACGCAACCACTTGCACCAGTGCAGCTCCATACCCCAGCAGAGAGAAAGGAACCATGAATAGAGAGATAGAATAAGAAGCAGGGAGCAGTAAATACCGTAGTGGATGATTCCTAGGTGTCTGACTGAACACATCCAGTTCCAGTGGTGGCAGCAGGCTGATCACTGCTTAGGGAACAGCACAATTCAGCCCCAAACAACCACGAGGACAAACCTTCACCAACCACTTATCAGCCATTAGCTAAAGCAGCTGCAGGAGGCTAAGCGAGTGGTAATGTTTTAATTGAAAACGGCTGTAGGAGAAGCAGAGCTCCCCCCCCACACTGTGTTAATATTAATAATAGGTGCATGGAGTGGGAGGGGGAAGTAATGGCAATTTAACAAAACACATTGGGGCTGGTGGTTTGACAAGTTGATGTGCACAAAAGGGAGATGGTAACAAAAATTTGAGAAAGCAACACTCAAGGATAAGGCATCAAACATTTCAACTTCAGTGCTGCTGTTAGCCAAACAAAAATCTATCAGCATGGGAAGAGAACACGTCTCTGGATCAGGATAAAGCTATGGGAGGTTATTCAGAGGATTAATTCCCCGGGGCAGTCGGGAGTGGCTGTGCTCTGCTGAAATGTGTTCCGCGGCGGGAGCGAGGGCTGCTCAGCCGCGGTGGCGGCCGCGCCGGCGGCCCTGGCTTTTCCCACACTCTACCTGTGGGTGTCCTGGGAAAGCAAAATAATTGAGCACAGACAGAGAATGGCAAGGCAAGGGGAATCCGGGATCAGGCTTTCATCGGACTCCTCTGCTGCTCGTCATTGCTGTACATGGGAACTGGGTGGAAAGCGCTACCCTATCAGATCCGTAGCTGTGCCCAGGTGTAAATTACTACTCCAGGTCTGAGGCAGCAACCAGCCAAGCCCAAGCCACCTAATCAGCCGCCTAATCAGTGTTCTCTGCCCCAGCTGAGGCAGCCCCCAAATCTGGGAGCTGCAACTCTGGGTGGTGAAGATGAAAAAAATGAAGTATTTGCTTGTAGGACTATTATTTTAAAGCAAAGGCCTCGCACATGCACAGTGAACCTCTAAACAAGGCCTACAGGACTGGAGGAAAGCGCTCATGTAACATATATTACTTGACATTGCCCATGGCTAAATATGGAGAACAAGATGTTCTCTGTGGCCATACCAGGCTTCCTTAGTCATATACGCTTTAATCTCAGCCCCTGTGCGAGAGAAGATCGCCGGCCACGTTGCCGGCGCTGCGCCGTGACAGGAGGGAGAGCTGAATGTGCAGCCGCTGAAGCATGGCGAACACGACACGGAGCTCTGGCAATGCACAGATCAACCAAATCAGGCAGGAGGGTGCCCTTGGTTCAGTTAATTTTGGAGTTATTTTGTATGGTTAGCATCAAAGACATTTCCTACTCTTGCATTTTGCTCACGTCTCACCAATTTCATAAATGGCAGTGCACGCCTGACCCCTTTTCCCTCCCCACACACCCTATTAGGTTCATCTCCTGAAGGCCCTAGGAAGCCCTGCCTCCACTCAAGAGCATCCACCGCTGGCACCCAGACCCCCCTCGCCTGCCCTGGGGCACCCAGGGCCCCTTTACCCCTCTCCTTAGGGGCTGCTGGGGGCCATTGGCTTCCCGCAGCACCCGCTCCGAGCACGGGTTTATCGCACGCTCATCTGAGGGGTGATTGGGAGGGATTCAGTCAAATTAAAGGTGATAGCACAGGCACCATGTACCTGGGTGCATCGCAAACAGGGACCCCACTGCACCCCACCCGCTCTGCAGGGGGGCTGCCCTGAGCCCCACAGCCTGAGCCCCACTTCGCAGCAAGCTCGTGCCAGCAGCCCCACAGCAGCAGCAGATCCAGGAAGAAAAGCTCCATTTCTCCAAGTGGTTGGACCACACCATACCACAGAGCTGGGCAAACTATCCAGGGGAGGAGATCCTCATTTTATATCAGCTTTGCAACACTTTATGAACATTGCCCAAGTGCCCCAAAGCAAATTCTTGCCATACATGTAGCTAGTTAAGTAATAGGCCTGGGTTTGTCCGTGCTGCTTGGACCAAGTCTGCTGAGCTTGGACCAAGTCCGCTGAGCCAAGTCCGCTGGGCCGCCCAGTGCCCACCTGGTCAGGCCACAGCGTCACGGTCCTCAGCGCAACGGGGGACTACGTGGCCCTCCGGTTTTACAAAACCTCATCAAAAGCCTCGGCTCCTCTCAGCAGGGCCTGTCCCCAAAGCCGGGTTCAATCAGGCCGCTCGGGGACGATGTCCATCCCGCTGCCTTTGCAGCGCAGCATAAATTAGTACCACGGCTGCCACTTTCATACGGGAATCAAAAACCCAGTTGTGCCACTCTATAAAGAGAAACTTCACAGATGCACTATAGGATATTTCATTACTAAGTATTTTGAATTTTCAACATGAAAAATATTCCCTAGTGTTAGTTACATTATTTGTTTCCTAGAGAGGGGATTAACATTCCCGCGGCTCAGAAGAGAGGCACATGCCATTGAAGAGAGCAAATATGATTTTTTTGTTGTTGTTTTCATAGGTCCTCCCGCAGACCACTGTGGGCCTTAGATATACACTTAAGACCCATGTCAAAGTATGATCCTCCTTCATTAGCACTTCAGTAGCTGTAAATCTGGGGGAGGATGTCTCCAAGGCTGCTGCTTTACATTAGATTTCCACTGTGTGAGTGTGGGGCTACTCCTGGTCTACACCAGCGTGGCTGAGAGGAGCATTGGCTCCCTCTTATTTGTTTATGTCTTTCATGAATGATTAAAAAAAAAGGGTGGTGGGGGGGGGTAGATTCTTCTCTCATTTGCACCCCTGCAGCTCTGGTGTAACGAGACGGTCTCCAGATGCTCTAGATATATTGATGCACAGACATGGCCAGTGCTTTTATTTCCAGGACTCCAATTCACCCCACCCCAGAATTTCAAAATGATTTGTTCATGCTCTAAGGCAAAACTTATTTTCCATCTCAAACATTTCATGCAATATTTTTAGTAGGCGGCCTTGTACAGCCGCATAGTCACCAATTTTAAGTATTATCAATAATGTATTCTTCACTGTAACCTCTTTAACACTTTCAATAGAATAAAATAAAATAAAAAGCACATCAACAAAAATTGTCTTCTCTTGGCAATGCTGTGTGAATGTTAAATTTCCCATTTCACAATGCAGTCATCGCTATAAAACTCTGAGGGCGGATTAACGCTCTTCTGGTACTTCACTGTATCAGAACATGGATTTGCAGACAACAGCTGCAGCAAATTCCCTTGACTGAGAAGAATTACAAGTATTATCACCTAGATCATTAAACTGGGTTCATAGATTGCAGAATGTCTTCAATCAATTCATCTAAGATAACTTGAAGCCAGCTGGACCCCCTCAGTGAGAACTTGACTTAATTGGCCAATAAGTGGCTGGAAAAGGTGCATGCTATTTGATAAAATTACAGACTGAACAAGTGATTACAGTTTGGAGAACCGCAGAGGGTAGCCTCCGGGTCAGCCCTTTTGGAGAGGGCTAAGTTAATGTCCACTATTAAGTGCTGCTGTGAAAAATGTTGGCCCACTTGGTGCTCAGATGTAAAGTGTATCCAGGTCATTCCTCAGCTGATGGAGTAAGAGATGTGCACATTTATCACTGCTTTGGCCTCATTTCTGCCTTGGTAATTGTCATACACTAACAACTGCTGGCAGTTTCATGGTTTTCTGTGTACCCTTCATTTTATTGGCATAACTAAAATATTATCTGAGCAAAGCAATCCATCTGCTAAAGAAAAACACTTTCCTTCAATTATGTCCCACGAGTCGTTTCTTAAGAAAGGTTAAAGCACCAGGAAGTTGAAAAATATACATTAGTTTGTTTTTATTCTATACAATCTACTGCAAAAGCACTCGGTTGTTACAGGATAAGTGGTAGGTCTAGATATTTACCACTGCAAAATGTTAGAGGAGCTGCCTCGTTTCAGGAAAATAGTGAAACCACAATATCAGATCAGTGTGTAAATACAAATCATCATTTAAATGCAAACACCTACATCCCCCCTAAAGAGACAGAAAAGGCTCCATGACCAATTCCTCCATGTTTTAATATTCAATAATGAAAGACTAAAATATAATCAGTAATAAAAGATGATTTACAGAAAAAAAAAATCTACAAAGAGTGTAGCTGCTACAAAGAGTGCAAAGAAAGCATTACATTACCTGTTTGTGTTAAACATTATGGAAAGACAGAGTTTGATCCTGCCTGTGCTCCATACGCAGGGCTCCCCTCGACCTGGGGGTCCCATGTCCAGCAGCCCCCGGCACCGGCTCTTTCCCAAGGAATCACCCCAAGGCGGCTCTTGCCATCCCTCCTGGGCAGGACAGTATCCCTGCTGTGATTCCACGGCTGAGGCCGCATATTTTTCATGGATTGGATAATTTTCACGGCTTTCATTTTCTAATTCTTAAATCCCTACCTTTTACGAAGCTGGACCAAGACCCATGTATCTCACGCAGATATCCAGAGGTGGCTCGGGCTCGTGTCTAGGGTATTTGCTGATGGGTAAGTTTTTGTAATAGTAAATGGTGCAACACAGAACTGAAAGCCTAGGGGTTGCCTAGTTAGAAAGATGCACACAAAACACCAATTAATGAACTGTGGAAGGACACGGTACACATTTTACCACCAAAACAGGGAAGGATATGCCTCTGACAAAATAATTGCAGGCTGCGGCTATTAGGTCAAAGAAAGCTTCTACATAAAAATAAGGCAGAAAACATCTACCTTCTTAAAAAAATTTTGCTTTTATATGTTTGTAAAATTATCAGAATCCCATTTTATTTCATTCACGGACAGAAATTAGGTTGCCATTCACTTGCTAGGTCTCCTACTGTACAACAAAACATGTTACCTTCAAAATAATGAGTTTTGTCCCAGGCCAGTCACAAAACACAGCCACCATAGGCCCATGGCAAGCTACGCTACATAAACAATCTGCATTTTTTAAATGAAACGTGTTTTCATAGGAAAATAATTTTCAAAAATGGAAACCTGAAGATCTCTGTACGTGTTTGTTGTTGTTTTCCTTCTGTAGGGAGAGGATGCCCATTTCTCTTTTCCTGGTGACAGCAATTCATTCTGGTCATGTAAAAAGACACCCTTTCCTTTTGAGATCTAACACAGAGACTGGGAAGGAGATGTTAAAACTAGATGGAAGGGCTCCACATTACCCGCATCACAGCCGCTGTACGGCTCCCGCATGGGCTTTGTTTTCCCCAGACTTTGGTGGGATGGATTTATTTTTCGTCTGCAGCCCCTGACCCGGTGCAGGGAATGGCTGCTCACCCATCCCAAGCCTTGGAGCTAAAACAGCCTTATGGACATGGAGAGTTCAGGGATGTTTCAATCCCTAGTCCTGCCAGCACATGAGACATTTCAGTTAAATGTGGAACGCTTTATTCTGATGTCTCCGACAATAAAAAAACCCAGTTCTTTATAGTAGTACAGGAGAAAGGATGAACGTTCAAGTTGCACTGTCTATTCAGTCTATGTCTGAGCCCTAGCATCTGCAAAGCAGTTTCCCACTTAGCTGTTTAGTGTTGACCTGCTGGCAAAGCCCTGTTTTGTAAAGCCCTTGCCAGGCAAGCTACGGCATTTTAGCACTGTCCTTCCTCAGCTGCTAAGTGGATGCTGCAAGTGTCACCTTTCCAGGAAGGATGAGCCCGATGGTGCCAGGTAGTGTCGCTCTCAGCTCCACAGAAGTGGCCAGCACCCTTGGGGTCAAACTGTAAAGCCAAGGCCTCATTGGCACCGCACGCCTTGTGTGACCTTGGACATGGTGTCTCCAGCCACCAGCATCCAATGAACAGGCTCTGCCACCTACAATGGGGACAAAAGGAAAACTAATTGATTTGTACACAGCTTAATCATATTTGTGTCCCCAGTGCTGCCACTTTGAATGTCCCAACAAGCTCTACCAGATTTGTGGTTAGCGGTGCTACTGCACACCCCGGGGGCACAGGGTTTCAAACACATGCAGAACTGTCACTTGCAAGTTTAGAAATCTATTTTTACAGCAAAATAAGTAAACAGTGGTGCTTTCTCTGCCTGTCAGAAAGATCATTAAACAAGCAGTTGCCAGCGGGATTTCAGTGGCAAAGAGGCCAGGCTTGGTGGGGCAGGACCTTTGCTCCAGCTCCCGGCTTTCACGCTGAACCAAAGTGACGGCCCTCAGCAGCCCGTTGCCACCTCGGCCCTTCGTCAGGGAGCTCCAACCAGATGGGCAGCAGGGGCTGGTCAGCTGTGTGACAGCTGTCCACAGAGAGAACAGGCGAGAGCTTTCACCTTCCAATGGAAAAGCCCTCCAGGTAAACCTCTGTCATCAAAGGGAGCTAAAGGCTAAGCCACTTGAGGCCATAAGCCAACGTGGTATCTCAATACAGCCCCAGTCTGCACTCTGAATTCAACAGGACTGCTCTCGTGCCCAGGCTAGTCACACTTGCAGATAACTGCCTTGACCAGAGCATATGTCTGACACAGGAGGCTGAAAATGGGGAGAGGGACAAACACACCAAGAATTTCCTGGTTGCTGCTGGGGATGCCCTTGGCTCCCCAAGTTACAGCCTTCTGCAAAATCTTCCAGCCAAATTCCCTTCAGGAGAGGGGAAGCAACTCTCTGACAGTCAGAAGACCACTTTGGTCTCTCATCTCTGTGTGAAGATCAGTGACCAAGCAACTGAGCAGCTCCCAGAGTTGCTGCAGCCCTTGCACTCGTGCTGCAAGGATGGCAGGACTCTGCATTTTCCTGAAGCACCTAGATCCACACGATCTTCCAAGAATCACAACCTTCTGCCTTGTAGAGAGAGGGTTTTCTTGCCTTTGTAGGCACAAGTAAATAATTTGAAGGAACAGATTTAGAAAAACAACACAAACATATTTTAGCTTTTTTCTCCTGTTGAGATTTTTGAGATGGTCTCCTCACTTTCTGCTCCATAATTGTGTTCATTAACAGTTGCCATGCTGAATACCCTTGTACCCTACAACTATGGCAATACCCATTTCCATGATGCCACGGGTTTGTCTGGGTGCTGCTTCGCGTCCCCCAGGCACTCAGAGGGAGCACATCCCCAAAATGCCCAGTGCTGCAGTTCCATCTCCTGCAGTTGGGTCGCTGGAGCTGCTCCAGCCACCCAGGCCAGGGTTTCCCATTTGGCTGCACAAATCATCACTGCATATGGTCCAGCCGAGAAGAGTTTTCCTGCCTCCCCACTGCTGAGACGCCCAGCACTGAGCTGCAGAGCAGGGAGCGGGTAGGGCCACCAGGTTCCATGGCTGAGCAATGGGCAAGACATGTATTTAATATCCACTGCAGGGAAGGACAGGGCCCAAACACTACTCACCCAAACAATGGAGTAAACGAGGTTCACTGTGGCATGTTACAAAGGCACTGTACTCCATCAGCATCTCGGGGATGGCCTATTGTTTTTAATTATCCCTATGCACAAAACCAACTCAGATAACCTTCTCTTCTCTTTGTCATTCAGGACCAAGGAGTAGTGTAGAGAGGAGGCTATTTGTACACGGAGCAGAAAAGTCTATTTTCTGTTTACTTTGAGAAAGTCTAGTATTGGCTTCCATTTATCTTCCAATAAGTCCTTGTCCAATGTGGCTCGGAGCATAATCTGTTCCAAGGGCAGGTGCTCCTTAATTAGAACGCTGATTTTTTTTTTCCCTCCATTCATTAAAAGGGAAAGAAAGGAAAAAAAAAAAGAAAAGAAGAGAGGAGAGTTAGAAAATGGCATGAAAGCATATTATCAGTAAATTGTTTCCACTGTGTTTGTGACTGTTCTTAATGTTTTATGAATATGCTAAAAATTTGCTCAGGCATTTTTCCTTGGGCACTCTAGTTAATTACTTATTCAGAGTGCTTCTACTCTGTTCCTTGCAAAATGTGTTGTGCATTAATTCTGATTATGTACAAAAACCCACCTGCAAGGAAAACCTCTGAATCAGTAATGCTGATAAAATGAGCAGCTCTCCTGGGGCTTTACTGAGAAACAAGATACTGGACAGAATTAGAATCTTGTAGCTAAGGCTATTCATAATGTCATTAACATAAAGGCAATTAAATGAGTTTTTAACCTACAACCCTTTATTGTTATTAATGAACATTAGAAAAACACAGGAGATAAAATTGGTAATTATCTCTGCAACAAGCTATGCAATAATGTGTTTAAATATAAAAACAAAACAAATGATTATTGTTAGTATTTTCAGTAGCAGAAGCCCCAAGGAGCAGCTCAGTCACATTTAATCACATGGTACTACACCAAGAGGGTTAATTAAATGAGGGCTTTACCTTCAGCATGCTTGGTTATTCTGTTTAATATGGAATCAACAAACAGAATTGTGAATTTGCAAAATATTCCAAGCAGTGGCTTCTACCTTCAGGTTAGCCACCTTTACAAAAACAGAGAGTGATTTCATTCCCTCCAGGACAAGCAGCTGCAGTCCTGCAATCAAGTTTTTATTGTCTAGTGCTTTCAAAACCAATTCCAGGAACAACTGTATAAATCCAGGCTCATAGCCTAAGCTTACTTTCTGTAAAAAAAAAAAAAAATTTTTTTTGGAATTTGAAAGAGATGTACATTTTAAAATAGATGATAAATGAGGTTTCAGCACCATAGCATAGTCAAAGAGCCTCCAGTTCCATTTTTTTATGCAAACTATTGTATCCTATACATAAGCAGTCATAAATTACAGCTCAACTTCTAAAGGCGAAATACATTAAAGCTCAGTGAAATAGCCTACATCTAGAAACAGATTTAAACTTATTAATTCAATTAAAGTTTTATGATTTAAACTTCCAGAATGGCTTTGCATTTCTCTTTTTAATTTTTTTTTAATATATATTTACATTGGTTTGGGGGTTCAGAAATCTCTTTTCTAGGCAGAACAAAGCTTAGCAAATGACAATTAATGAATTTTACCTTCTGTCTCTTCAGAGAAAGCTTTCCCAAGAAGTGTCCCTTAACATGCCTAGTTATGGTTCACAGAGGAAAGAGCTGAAGCCGCTCTGCAGAGTCCCTTCCCACATAAAGCTACACAGGATCCAGCACCAGTTTCAACCAGCACCACATGCTGCTGCTGTAAGACTGCTGAGCTCCGAAATGACATGGAGATACTGCTGTCCTTCAGGTAATCCCAAAATGTTTTGATCTAAAGATTACATGATGGGCTGCCCACAACAGCAAGAGGAAGGTGCCATAGGGCTGTAGAGAAGTAAATGAATGAATGAATGAATAAATAAATAAATAAATAAGCAAGGAAATTTGTAATCTGGATTTGTAATCAGGGAGATTTGCCAATCAGCCGAGCGCAGGCATTACAGAGGGTGCCACAGGTGCCACACCAAGGACCAGGAGATTAGGGGAAGATCTGGTGCTCCAGCACCCTCAGGGAAAGGCATGAGGGTAAACATATCCCTCCCTAGGTTACATGAGGTGCTTGAGGTGCACAGAATTGCATCCCTGCAACCACATCACATGTGCAGCCATGGAAAATGTTGGTGGCTTTCCCATCCCAGCCAACCTCACCTGGATCTCCTGGTTCTTGGATGGAGTTGGCTTTGGTACCAGGTGTGTGTGCATGGTGGGGTTTAGTCTTCCCATTTAGGTATCCGGGTGCTGCTCTCCTCCTCGCCCAAGGGCAGCAGTTCTACCAGCAAGTAGACACAAAGCACGCAGTCAATGGATCAGGAGTTTTAGAGAGGGTGAGCCCAGAACCTACTTTCAGCACTCATTTCAAATGGAATATTTAAAACAGGCAACTGTGATCTGCTTGCTTCAGTGGGATGGCCTCTTTTATGGAGTGGGAACAACAGAGGGCATTAGGGTAACTGCTTGTAAACACAGTGCAACAAGATACAGAGCAAAGGACACTCCAGAAAACCCTATGACAAAAGCCTCACCAACACAATTATGTGGGACAAATTCTCACCTCTGCAGAAGAAGGCAGGATAGCAATTAAAAAAAAAAAAAAAAAAAAGGAAAAATTAAAAAGAAAAATAAAGAAGAATAATCTCAGAGCCAGGATCCAGCATTGAAAGATGAGAGATTTTCCTGTTTCTGAGCAATTCCTTTGAGTGGCTCTGCTTTTCTGCAGTGATGGCAATGAGAAGAGCAGCTTGGGGAAAGATCCTTGCATCAGACACAATGATGGGACTTTCTGGAGAAATTATCAAATGCTGGTGACAATAAGAAAATAGAGGCATGAGGAGAAGCAAGAGCACCAAAGAGGAGGTTTTCCCACCTGGGAGCTTTCCTATCTCATCCACACATTAGGAGTCAGCCCCACAGAGCAGGATAAGCAAAATCACAAATAACAGAGGCTGTTGGACTGCCCCGCAGATAGGGCAGATCCCAGAGCAGACCGGGGACATCCCAAGGTTTTCAAGCATGAGGACAGAAGTGAGAACTTGGGCTACACAGAAAGGCCTCTTTCCTGAAGCCCCAACTCCTTTGTCCCCTCCAGCTGCACAAGGCTGGGGAATTTAAAAGGAGAGTATCTGACACACATGCAAACAGGCAGAGCATGATCGCATCAGACTGAGGTCCTTGGAAGCCAGGTTATGAGAAGAAAAAGCCTCTACTAGAGCAGTGAAAACTGCACACAGCCCTAAGGGCTTTGTTGAAGCTCATATAAGAACAAGATAAGCAGAAGGCATTGAGTTTCCTAATGGCATTTAAAGGAAAAGACAGGAGCCCACAAAGATACACCTGAAGAATGAATAACGAGAGTAAGCAGATGCCAGTTAATGTTGCCTAACAAGCAGCTGTGGGAGTTAAACACGGAGAAATCAAAATAAGAGAGAAAAGCAGTCTCACAGGGAAATAAGGGAAATCTTGCTGAAAGAACTGTTAGCAATAAGCAATTAATAACCTACTCAAAAACTTGACGATATGCAAACAGGGTGATGCTGGAAAAGGGGGTGTGAAGGAAGCCTGATGGAAATGCAGCTAATTTTTCCCTAGAAGATATTCTTTCTAGACTTGCTAAAGATAAATGAGAAATGGTAAAAGAAAAAAGAGAAGTCAAGCTGCTTACTTTCTACCTTGGAAGTCTGTCTAGTGAGACAGCAGAGCAAATATTGAGCACGACAAATACATAAAGGATAAAAAATTAGCACCATGGTTTATAACAGTAAACACTGTCAGACAGACCAGTTTCTACTTTTGACAGATCTCCCAGATAGGAAGAAGACAACCTGACAACTTAGACATCTGAAAAAAGTTTGCAAGAATAGTGCTCGTCACACCTGAAAGCAAACATTTTGGGAAAGAAACCACCTACGCTTCACCCTTATGTTGGGACATATGGTAAAGCCTAGAGTCTCACGACAGGTGAAGTCACCTACTTGGCTTAGATGTGACTCAGGTCTATGGAAAAAGCCAGGTGTACAGGAGAAGAAGGGAAAAATGGAAGGTAGTCTCAAGCAAGGTTTTAAGTGTCAATATCAGCTGGGATCTGTTGAAGGTTCATGACTGGAAGGATGCACAATGCAAACCTGGAGAAAGGAGGCAGTTCTTCAAGGCCAGGCAACTAGAGCATAGCGCTACAGAGTCATCCGTAGGTATTTTTGATATTATTGCTTATTAATATCAAAGCCCTTCTTAAGCAGACACAGCCTTCTCGCTGCTTGCCTGCATTACAGGCGCTGCGTGGGATCCCTGGCACTGACGCCCTGTGCTGTTAAACAGCACGGAGTGGACAACTGTGGTATTAAAACCAATGACTTCCTTAGAAAACTTAACCACTCTAAATACCTGAAAGGGCTCTCCCCAACAGCTACAGATTTCTCTTCATCCTGATGTAAAGCAGACTTCATTTGCTTGTATAAGCCTGCTATACACTGGTGTAATCAGAAAAGGCCCAGGCTATTCAAGTGGTGTGTAGATACAGAAATGCCGTGCATACTAACCAGCCTCTCCAAGTGCAAATGTGGGTAAAATAAGTACAGCTGTTTTAGCTGCTTTTGAACTGAGGGATGTTGTAGGAAGCCATTAAGCTAGGTGAGCTGTACTTGACTTGGGAGCTCTAGAGAAGACCTGGGGAGAAGGTGAGCCAGGCTCAAGCACTCCGTGCGCCGCGTGCCTCGCGGCAATGCGGGTCGGTGCCCGTAGGAGAACAGGGCATCAGGCATCAGGCCAAGCTGCAGACACGCATCCCTCAATCCTACACATCCCATCGCTCGGAGCCTGGGAATACTCAGAGCCAGGAGCAAAACTCCACACTGGAGTTCTGCTCTTTTTATCCAGGCAACTTCTTTTTCATTTTAGATCACCAGTTTATGGTTTACTGCTACACTCGACCCTCTTTCCTTACCCAAGACAACATGTGCAATAACTTTTCCACACCATTATTGATCAGACTGCTCATTTTCATTGAAAGCCATTTGGGACAGGGCTAGGCTGCACTGTGCCCTCGTCCAGGCCTAAAACTTTTAGTATCATCATGCTAGGTATAGTCAGCATTAATCCAGACAACAAATATATGTCAGAAGGGTAGAATTATCATCCTTCACTCATTTGTAATTTATAAAAAGCACAATGGCAAATGAAATTTGTTGAGGGCAAGAGCAAGGTAACGCCTGTTAGAAGAAACATTTAACTACTCCTACCTCAAGAGGGTTAAAATTACCACAGCCACGCATCATTTTGGACAGCTTCATCCAAGATAGCCACTGAAAGCTCAGGAGTTATCCAAAAATGCAATGACATTCTGAGGAAAGGAGAGAGAGGAATGATGAACAGTACATCAGAGCTACTGAGATCAGCAATGTCCACGTGTGTTTAGCTGAAGTCAATGAACACAGAAATAACCTACGGTTGATGGGGGTCACCTTGCTGGAATCTTAATTTTTCTAACAAGGGTCTGGTCTAGCCCCATAGCAGATGAAAATAACCAAGAACTTGGTCTATTCTAGTGTGACAACTCCTGCTCTCTTTATAAGCTTTGTCATGAAAGAACTACCATGTCTGTATTTTATTTGCAGTGTTTTAGTGGATAAATGACACTTCTGCTTCTTTTTCTTGCCAGCTCTCAAATGCTTACAGTGACAACAGCCAGTTGTCTGTCATTTAGAAGGCTGGCACCTGTCTAGATAATAGCGAGACTCAATATTCCTGAAATACCAGATTTCTGTTAGAGAAGAAAAATCAATAACTGTGACAAGTGCTATCCATTAAAGCCTGAGAGCACAGAGGGAACGATTATGGAAAGTCATTTGTTTAATGTAACAAGACTGTAAATGAAAAATCTTAGAACTGACTTTTGTAGGATAAAACATCCTGTCAAAGGAAAGAGGCCCATGAACCAAATCTTCTTGATTTTTTGGACCCAAGCTAGTCAACACCTTCTGAAACTCAGGAGCCTCATCCTACCAGATGTCATTTCCCCTCAAGATCAATAGTTCCCCTACAAACAGATAAGGGCAATTGCAACCATTAGCATCAGTTTCTCTTCTCAGGCCAGAGGCAGAAATATCCTTTTCCCACAGAGCACTACTTTTTTTTTCATGCGGCTTGCCACAGTAGAGCGATACATATGTATATATATGTATATAAATGGTTAATTATATATTTATAGTATAACCTTATATTCAATAACAGTGTTTGCCCTCTCAGAGTTCAGCAAATAGAGGTGAGAAAGAGCACTACGAAATTAAAGTTGGGTGATTTCTCAGAAACAAGGCCATCCTCTGGTCTCCAGCTTCCTTCCAGATCCTGATCTCTCCATTTCTTTGGCTTTATGAACTTTTGCCACTTGGGCTGATGTTTCCCTTCTAAATGGCATTTCAGCATTGGCCTCCCTTGCTGTCCAGCATCCTTTCCTGGATTAACTCTTGGGTGCCATATGGTACAAATGGCCTGTCGCACACTCCTGCGATCGCTATTTATAAACCTGCCAAAATGCTGCCTTCCTTGGCAGCCTGCCTCGTGGCTCCATTAGCTACAAAGGGAGGGTGACGCTGCTTGGAAATAATTAAGATGGGCTTCTGCCAGGTCTTCCACAGCAACACTGGGGGCAGAGCTCCTGTTTCCCCTTTTCTTCCCCTTTTCCCCAACCAGCATGTGGAAAACATTCCTGTACATGCACCCCCTTCGCTGCTAAGCTGTTTTCCAAGCTGCTTTGCCTATGCAATTGAAGATTGCCCTGGCTTATGTCAATCACGTTTGGCTTAATTTGGGGTATGGTCTCACAACAGAATCCCTCAGGTACACGTGGTTTGTCCAGGTTTTGCCCTCAGGAAAAGCTTCTGCCTCTCAGGAGCTGCAGCAGAGCACCCAGCAACATCAGCCCTGCTCCCTGTCACAGTGCCAAGGAAAGGCAGTTCCGCAAGCCAGCAGAAACTGAGATTTCTTCTTCTTGTCACAGGGGGGCCTATCTTAAAGCACACATGTTCCATCTCTTGCAGCTGTGGGAGCACATCTTTAGCTAGTTTCAGGATGGATGATCAGTTTGAGAGCATCACCTGTGGAGCGTTGATCTGGGGATGTTAGAAAGGTTTAGAGGGAAAAGTGGTCCCCATGGGATGTCATTAAAAGTTCACTGGTCTCACTGGAGATAAAAATCATGTGAAAAACAGTCAGTGCAAGAGAGGGGCTCTGAACATGTCAGACGCACCGAGCCCCTGCACTGCAAGGCCTGGTGTTGCAGGAACGAGCTACGTGGGGGCAGCTGCAGGGTGCTCAGGGGCACCTTGAAAAGATCCTACCTGGAAACTTTGGCATTGGTGAGAGGTGCAGTCTGCTGAACCACTCACCTAAAATCCAGTTCCGTTGCATCTTGCAGTTACCCATTTCCTCAGGACTTCCAGAAGGTGAAATGCCTCATAAATCTGCAAACAGAGCTGACAGCAAAGTCCCAGGTTTCCTATCTGACTTAGCGTTGAAAGAGGGAAGACTTGCAACTTTTCCGTCACCTACTATTGGGCAAATACTTCAGTACTTTCCAATATGATGCCATTCTTGAAAAGACTTCATTTGTGTATTGGCAGCTCACCAACTCCAGATAACCCCAAGCAGAGCATCAAACTAGCAGAAGTCGTCTTCCTTCCTACACGGGACTTTCAAAGCTATAGTTATAGATATATTCGTGTATGTATTTAGCTCTTTTTAGAGTAAGCCTTGCTCTTCAGGCACAGTGGGGAGTGGGTAGAAGAGAGTTAATAGAACGAAATAGAGAGTTAATAGTGAGTTAACTAGAATGAAAAAAAATATATAAAAGAAGACAAAGAATAAAACATCCTCTGGCAGATACTGGTGGTTATGTTGGCACTGCATGTACAACAGTGCAGGAAGAAGCAACACTGCGATTCCCATGTACTCCAGCAAAATATTTGTATGATGTGCCTACACAAAACTTAAGATGAAGCAACCTCTTTATAAGCTTTTGATAGTGAGGAGAGAAGTGGCTTTGCCGTTACTTCTGTTTGTGAAATGAAAGTGATACTGAATCTTGGTGTTCCTGGATAGAGCTGCTGATCATCACAGTGACAGCCAAACTATTTTTTGTTTGCTTGCTGTTTACTTTAGGTGAAGAGAAAGGAACTTCTTTGCTGTCACTGCAGCGCGCGATGCAATGAAACACATTCCATGCCCAATGTGTGCAGAAATTTCAAGACAACAATATTTATTATCTATGCATATAGAGTAAATATTGCTGCTTTGCTGTCAGCGCTGCATGTGGCGCTTTAGGGAAAATAAAAGGGCATTTGTATCTAGAATGCCACAATATGTTTGACAGCATGAGTGAGTACTGCATGAGCTGTAATGCTGCTCACTAACCTACCACAACAAACACTGGTGAGAATACTCATGGTATATGAAAGGAACCCTTATACATGGTATTTCTGATCTATTCCTGTGAGAATATGACCAAACTCCTGACCCAAAATTTCTAATAAATAAGATGTATACTGCTTATACGCTCACAGTAGCCATTACAAAGTCCTGTTGCATATGCTCAAACTATGTGAAAATGCAGTAAGGTTGTTCATGTCCAGTTTATACCATTAAACAATTGCTCATCCCCAGATTCGACTGCCCAGACCCATCCTGTGACACAGTAGTAGCAGAATGAGTGTCACTAGCTGGTCAAGAATGGCCATCCCCTCTCTTCAGGGCTGGCAAAATACATCTGGGGTGTCTGTTGGCAGGATTTCCAGGACAAGAGAGTACATGGATATACTGTCAGCAAAGGACCATGTGGGTGATTAAGGGACCTGAGCATCTAACATACAAGGAGAAGCTGGAAGAGCTGGGGTTGTTCAGCCTTGAGAGAACAAAAAGGCTCACAAGGGGTAGATCTTTTACTTAAATTCCTGATGAGGGCAGTAAAGAAAACAGAGCCTGGCTCATATCAGCAGTACCCAAGTGAAAGAGCAAGAAGTAATAAGAACAAACTGAAATTTAAAAATTTCTATTTAAAAATAATAATAAAAAAAAAAAACTTTACCATAAAGGTGGTCAAATACTGGAATAGGTTTCCCAGAGGAGTTCTGCAGTCTCTACTCTTGGAGATATTCAAAATCCAACTGGACATCACCCTGAGCAACCTGCCCTAGGAAGCCCTGCTTTGAATAGCAGGGTTTTGGGCGGTTGTTGGAAAATCTCCAGAGGACCCTTCCAGCCTCACCCACTCTATGATTCCGTTCAACTTATAGGATTTTACTGCAGATCTGAACAAAAGACAAGACAAAGAGCAGAATCCGTTTAGGATTACAGAATTCAGATTTGCTTGGGGCACTTAAACTCATGCTCTAATGGTAACATCAAAGGAATAAAGATGAACAAATATCTCAGACTGATACAATAGGCCATCAGCTGCTTGCTTATTTTAAAAGGAGATGAACTCAGCAACACTTCTGTTTCAAACAGCCATGACCTTGCTTGAAATTGATGGACAAATTACAGAAAAATACATTTACGTGCAATACTACTTCACTCTCTCTTTTTTTTTTTTTTTCCCCTCTGGAGTGGGCTTAAGCAGAAACTAAATAGGCATTAAAAAAAAAAAAAAAAAGAAGGTAGCTTATTATATATTTTCTTGTACTTTTAACATGAAGACTTCTCTACCAAATGGACATCCTTGTATAGAACTCAAACCACATGAAATTCTCCATGAAAACCAGTTGTTTCTAAACAGCACCAATGTTCATAGACAAAGAAAGAAAGAAAACCAAACCACCTACACATTTCCTTTTTTTTCTTTTTAACTCTAATCTTGAATCTAATGAAATCATCAGCACTTCTTACTGTGCTTGGGAATTGCCTCGAACAAGATTTGGGAACTCATGTACATGTTAATATTACATGAGGTAACTACCAGTGCAATCTATATGATGGAGCCATCTCCTCTACGCATTGCTCAACGTGCTGCTTGAAGAACGGCACGGATACCACAGGGATTGCTGCCTGCTCTGCTTTGTGAAATCAGAGCTGTGGAAGTCCAGAAGACAGAGACGCAATGCAAAGGCAGCTCCTTTGCAGCTGGGGTAGCGCTGTCAGCTACAGACTGCGCTAGGAACAATCCTCACGTTTCCAAATTCTCAGATGTTCACCTGCAAGTTTGGGCTTTTCTACCCTCCTACCACCCCCATCCCTCCACTTAGATATTTACATTTTCCTTCTGCATTCAGGTTGGGTGCCTAACATGCATAAATGAGAGGAACTTCTCCAAAGTGGGTACTGTACATCTTTCATCTCCAGGGCTGCCGTTCAGCAGTTCCTCCACATTTAGTGAAGCAGGAAAGCATACATTTACCTTTAAGTCCCTGCTTAAATCTTCCCAACCTCGATTACTTCTTCAGAACTGCTCACACAACTTCGAGCTGGTCCCTTTGCCGCCAGGGCTTTGAAGGGAAGGGATGTTTGAGCAGAACTAGCTTTTTCTACAAGTCAGGCACCAGAGTTTCAGCCACTCAGCAGCCATCTGAAAAGTGAGAGGAAAATGGATTCACGTTTTAAATAAGTGCAAGTTTTCTGAACTACTACTACTTTGTTGTTCCCCAAAGACTTTTAGAAAGTGAAACTTATTGGGATCAAGCAGCATACAGCGCTCTATGCTCTCTCAGGTAAACCAAGAACTGCTTTCTGTGTTACAGCTGACACAGGGTTGTCACTAGTTCTGCACTTTTTTGACTTTTGTTACCTTCAAAGGAAAAGCTTTATTTTCTTTTTGCCTGCATGCCCATCCTCTGTTAATTGGTGACAACAGCAGCCAGGACCCCCTCCGGAGCCCCTCCGAGGAGGGCCGCCCGGCGCAGCTCCGGTGGATGTTGTTATTCCTGGTAGTCAGGGGCATCAGGATGTATAACTGTGGATCAAGAAAACCTCCAACTAGTAAAACATCTTTTCCCCCCTCTTTTTTTTTTCCCAGCCTATTTTTTTCAGCTACAGGGCACTGCAAAAAGACGGGCCTTTGTATTAGAACTATCTTTTAGACAGCTTTCTTTTTTTCTGAATATATTCTGCAGAGCTGCTCTTTGCAGTCAAAAAAAAAAAGTGCATGTTACAGACAAGTGCATATTACAATGAGAATATTTTATTGGGCTTTGATGAAGCTAGAATACACTAGAACTAGAATACACTGCTCTAATAGTTGAGATCCTTGCACAGAAAGGACGTATTATTAACTGAAGTAAATATGTTGCTATGAATTAATTGACAGAACATTTTATAGTATGAAATTCAAAATCTCGTTAGGAATGAATCAGACTAAGGTTGTATGTCTGTAACATTTTTAATACAGACATCTAGTCAGGACTACTTGGAGTTTATATCATGTCTTGATGAAGCAGCCAAGAGATTCCAGTGTAATTTAGTGCAATCAATTATAATACTCCACGGCAATATTTAAGACTGATTTGGATTAAAAGAAATACCATATTAAAATCATGGCCTGAGACACAAATCCCAGCACTCTCACTGGCCCCTATTCTACAGCCATTCCTGAGGTGTCTAAGCAAAAGGAACAAAGGCATTCTCAAAGGAACATCAGAGGCTCCAGTACCTGGGTAAGGTTATCTTTACTGGAGCTTTGCAAGTATTGGTCACTCTTTCTCCTGCCCAAGGATCCTAAATTTTGGTACTTGACTACACTACCCCTGCCCTAATCACTCTTAATATAAAAGCACAATTTAATTCTCCACAGCCTCAACAATGATATCACAAAATGAGGCGCAGTGAGGAAGCCCTCAGGACGCTGCGTTTCTGCCCATCGCGGCCCAGCACGGGACATGAGGCCATGAGGTCACAGCGCTCGCACACCAACTAATTTTTTTTTTTTTTTTTTTTTTTTTTTTTTTTAGGGGTGTGTGATATATTCAGGGGTAAAATGGGGGTAAAGACACCATCACAAATGGGTGGTTCCTCTTTTTGGCATAGCAGCTGTCTGAAGGAATTATTGCATTATTGAAACATAAACCAAAATGGTCCACCAGCATCTCGTGCCCTGGGCTTAGCTCATGTACAGCATCTGGACATCCAGCAATTTGCTGCTCACTGATCTCCAGCCTGGCCCATTGATCCCTGTCGCGATGCCCCAGGAGGCAGCCAAGCCCGGCCCCAAGGAGGCTGCCAGCCAAGTGCCAGGGACAGCACCTTGTGCACACGAGCCTGAGTTGTGAGAGGCCTCTCGAGGCTGATGTCCAGTCCTGGTCAGATTTATCAGTGATCACTAGGAGCACAAACATCTCCATTCACGATGCTACATCTATGGAGCCACTGTTCCCTTCTGAGTTAAAGGGGTAGTGTGATTTGGGGCAATCCTGTAATACCCACCTAGTTCTCCAGTGCACAAATTAAAATATCTGACAGATTGCTAATGAGTGCATGTTGGAATGACTGGATAGTCTGTTATCATTTGGCCATTCACAGTTTCTTCAGCAACCCATCTGTGCATAAGACACAGCTACTGCAGCGCAAGCAGTCTGGGATAGTGTCTCCATTTACACCTTTTGCTATTATAGGCCTTTGGGAAAGGCCTTTACTAATTAAAGTTTTTATCAAACATATTGTTAACTTTCCCACCCTGTTACTAAACCACCCTGCGTGGGTACAAAAGGTCTGTTTAACAGCAGGCTAGAGATGCAGATATTTTGTACATATTTCAGTACCTGAGCACAATGTTTATGTTGCAGACTAGCAGTTTAGATCACATAATGTATTTGATTCAAAACACTGCACAAGCAGTTTCCTGCCTTTTTTTTTCCTGAGCAAAACACATTGAATCAGATCCTCTCGCATATGGGCCACTTTCTGATAGACTTACTTGTGTTAGCTAGTGCACATACACATTTGTTTTGAAGTTAAAAGAAGAAAACCATTCTAGGAATCCTACAAGATTATTGATTTGGGCTGTTCATAAGGCACCAGCCTGTTTGCAGACAGTGCAGTGCCAGTCTCAAAGGAACAAGGTTACTGGGAAGAAAGATGCAAACTGAGGACAAATGCTGGCTTCTCATACTTACTCTAGCAAACTGTTGAGACCCTGCTGAGATTTGATGCTACTGTTCTGCAGTGCAATCCAGCACATTTAGGTATGCAGACGCAATCTGAGCAAGGCGAGCAGACAGCTTCTGCAAATGCATCTATGCAATTTCAAAAGACTTCATGCACAAACATAAGCTGAGAGGGTGCAAACACATGTAAATAAGCAGTTACACTCGGAAAGTGCAGAGCAAAGAAATAATATTTTAAAGAAGAAAACGCTCCCAAATCAATCTCGTAGGCGAAGTCATACAAGTCTTGGCACAGCTGAAACCGTATCTGAGCCAAGGATGTACCCACAGGACCTGCGCTTCAGCCTGCACAAACAGATTCCTTCTCTGAGTAACTGGACTGAGTCCCTTGCTACTCTGCTCTAGTTAAACTGCTTCAATGAATTAAAGTTTGTGGGATCAGGCCCACATACTCAAAGTCTTCTATCTAGTATTATCTAATGCCATTGCAAATACTGAGAAATGAAAGATTTCTGAAGAAGTCCCAGTCTCACAGCATATGAATGCAGAATTAGTTTTTCCTTCACAAGCAACGTCTTTTATAGGCAAAAACTGAAGACAAATTATATTAGCATCTGGTGTCAGAAGCCTGTCTCCAGAGAAACGGGAGCACCGAATGCTCATTCCTTTGGAAGAAGCCCAGAGGTGGGTTTGCTGGATTGGGTCTAGCTGGCTAAAACTAGAACTTCCTGGTGTCTGTGAAGGACTACGTCTCTGGAGGTATCTTGCAGGCTCTGCAGTGCTACGGCAGTAGTTACACAGCAGTTCTGCCCAGTGCAACAGTTTTCCTTGTTTAAGCTAATCACTTTCCTCATGTGCAATCTCTCATAAGGAAATCTGAAACACAACTGAAACATCACTACGCCAGCAGATACCTAAAAGGGGTCTGCAAAAAAAATGCAGAAAAGCAGGAAGCCCAGCCCTGACAAGCAGGTTCCCTTTTTTCCCTTGCACGCAGCCCGTGGGGGTTATTGCCCCAGCCTCTCCTTGCGGCGTGGGGATGAGCCAGGCCCTCAGTGGCGATGGGACATCTCCTACCCAGGGGTTACAGAGGAAGAGCTTGGCGGCAGCACCAGGGGCGGACAGGGCTCTCCAGTGCTCCCAAAGGACCAGGATAAGGACAGCTGGGCTGCCACCGCCTGGAGGGCTGCTCCACAACATGGCCCCAGGGTGAAAGGTCCCAGGAGCCTCCAAAAGCACCAAGAAAAGCTGCATATGCAGCTCAGCAGCCCCAAGCTTAGTGTGGCAACATCCCTCCGTGCATGATGCCCTGAGATGGCACTGCCTCCCGTGGGACATTGCCTGCCATCCTCGGGACACGCGGCCTCAGCCGTGGGGCCCACAAACCTGCACAGGTCGGCGGCCACCGCGCCTCCGGAAACACAATTTATAGCTCTGGGTACTCAAGAGGGAAACCTTAATGAGCACTAAATATTCATCCTTAATAAGAACATACTGTAATAATCACCCTGCACATGATAAATAGATCACAAGGTTTACTTTTCCTGCCTTTTTGTTAAATAGCTGCTTTTTTTCCCCTCCCTCACAGGATAATTTATCCAGTTCTCTAAAAACAAATCACAAGTTATCAAGACTCCATATGAATGCTGGCTTTTTTTTTTTTTTTTTTTTTTTTTTTTAATGTTATGAAGCTTGGGTTAAACAATTCTTTCCTAAATAAATGCTCCTTTTCCAGTTGGCACTGAAGGCTTGGCTGTTCACAGTAATCAAGCTCCCAGTTGGCTAACCTCTCACCTAACGCAGCATCTTCACATTTCATTTGGACAAAATTTATCATCAATAAGCAAAGACAGAAAATGTGTGAATGTCTAAAGCTTATGTAAATTAAGAGGCTATGCACACTGGTCCTAAAAATAGAAGATAATAATAAGCATTTCTTCACTATCCTGTAATTATGGGCCTGCTGTCATCTCTTCTGTTCTCTATAAGGTCACGGTAGTATTATACAAAATTTACAGTATATTATCAGTTAAAAATACAATAATTAGCAACCACGCATCTTCCATCCTCAGCAGCAGTGATGAATGTTCACAGTCAATGTAAAAAATAAAAAAGCATTGTTTGCTTTATGTGGACAACGCACACTTAAATTTAATCATCAACTTCTGCTATCCAGTGGGCAATATTCTTTCATTATTATAACACTGTTTTCCAAGATCACAGTACACCCTTGGGGTGAATTCATCCTTAATGAAGGGACAAGAAGCCAAAACTCTCACTATCACATCAATTACATATACCTTAAACATATTCTTTTAAACTTCATAATTCTATACAATTTATTTTATAATAATGTCTAGGTGTCTGGAGAAAATATCAGCTGTTGTTTTGAGCATTATAATGAATATTTTCACTTAGTGTTCAGAAAACTTAACTTACAAAAGAAGGTGCATTGGGATATTCTCTCCTTTAATGTGTTCCATTTTTTTGGCTTCCTTACATACTGGATGTTGAAAAAGAAGAGCAGGGAGACTGCATATATCCATCCATACTACAAGTTGGAAAACATATAGCAAGCATACGTAAGAATTCCTTCAGCCACAACATTGCCCCATGCTCTCGCTCTGGCCACATTTTATTTTCCCCACTTATTCCCATTTATTTTCCCATTCCTACTGCCAAACAGAATGAATAGCTCATCCAACTAAATAAACCACTGATATCCAGCACTGTACTCCTCATTCACACACACAAAAAAGGCCTAAAAATCTCTCTGGAGTTCCTTACAGGTGAATTTTACTCTTTGGCGACTAAAATAAAGATTTATTAAAGAAAAGGTTTTTTTTGAATAAAAAACAAAAATAGAGGACAGAAAGCTTTCAACTGAAAAGAAAAAAGTAAATTACTTTCAGATTGCACATTATCAGATTGAACTCCAGTAAAAATAAAAATGAAACATCAAAATGTCTGATTTAAACTTTTCTAAAAAAAGTTTTTGCAATTTTTTAGGCTGAACTACCTACCTGATTTTATACAGAATTCTGGCAGACACAGAGAGATGCTTACAGTCTGAGCAACACAGAAAGACCATTCCCCAGGCCAGTACCTCACCACATCTCTCCACAGCTGGCTCCTACCTGCATGATACGTTCCTTAAAAGACTGTTGGGAAACAAGGCCCAGCTGTGACAGGACTAAAACACAGGGCTCATCTTCACAGGTTCTCCACAGTGACAGCAACTCATACAGATCCACATGCAAGGTGAGTTCCTGGCGCGCTGTTGGGTTCTGCATCTTCATCCTCTAGATACGCTGAGCTCTTTTTTGTCTACACCTATGTGTGCCATTTAAATATTGAATTAATGGTTAACTCTTAAAGTCTAGAAAAAAAATGTTGTTTGATTGGTATCTTTAAAGCATATCCAAGAATCAGAGGCTGCCTTTTTAAAACAAAGCAAAATGAGAAAACACTGCTCAGGCCAGTGTTACAAAGGCAGGGGTGCACCTTAGCTATCCAATAGCCAGCAGATAAATAGAGCCTTGGAAATATAGGATCATAAAGTGATGAAAACACCATCCAATGCAACTATTAATTTTGCCATGACTAGGGAATTTGCTAATTCCATAGGTGCCTGAACACCTCCATGTATGGAAGCGCTGACGATCAGAGCTCCAGGAAGAGGGCAGCGAGCAGGGGAGCCGCAGGAACCCTGGCTCACACGGACACTGAAGCCGCCTCTCATGTCGTGCCAGGGAACCCAGGGTCCAGCTTGTGACAGCCCTGCCTCTAATTTCTAGGATTTTCCTAAATTGTCTTTCTACTGCCATATGTCACTATTCCGAGGTTACCCAGTGTGATTGAAAACAGACTGAAAACAAAACAAAAATCCAGCTGCTGTGAAGGCTTTTGTTAGCAGTTGTGAAGATGCAGTGATGAAGTCCAGCAGCATCTGCTGTAATCTATCCCTAAAACATAACATATTGGTGTTTGGTGACAACAAGAAGTTGCTTCCTTCTCAGGAAGAGCAGGCAAAATAGTAGTTCTGCAGTGTTTGTAACATTAAAGAAAAAAAACAAACAAGAAAACAGTAACAAAAGTCTTAACAAAGGCCTTCCTTCAAGCGAGCTCTGGAGTTCACCCTTCATCCTTCCCAGAATTATTCTCCATTGCTTTTCTAAAGCAGCTATTACACAGGTCCTCCCGCTGCTCCCTGCAGCCTTGGTGAAACACTGGTGCCCCTGCCTGTCCGTCAGCCCTGACCTAGGGCTGCTGCCAGCTAGGAAAGGATTTGATGCACTGGAAGTAACTGTGATGATTCAGGAGCTAGATCTCACGGACCTGGGTGTCTGTCCTGAAAAGGGCTGCCTGAAGGCAGCTGCCGGCCCTTCCTTGTGCCCTCCTTTACCACGGAGGTGCTAATTTCCTCTTCACCTACATACCAGGAGGTGAGGACTCAGCGAACGACATCTAGACAAGATTACAGCGGCAGAGGATGGGGCGCACTCACTGCTGGCACCGCTTGGTCTCCGAGGCCGTTCTCTGAGGTTCTGTTCTGAAAGAGCTGCGGTCCATTTGGGTATGCTCAGGACTGCTCTCTCTCTGCTTTGTCCAATAAGACGTAGAATAGCACTCAGAAAAGTACTAACATTTCTGCTTACATGAGAAGAAGAGGCAGCCTCTCAAAGAGGAGCAGTAGGCAGCCACAGTTTAGCTGTATCGACCTAATCCTGTTCCTCACTTTGTGAATTAAGAGGCTGTGCTTTTGCACTTTTGTTTCTGTGTCCATGACTTTATACCTCTTCTTGTTTAAAAATCAAAAGCCTCAATTTTCCTTCAAGGTCATCTCTCACTCTCTGACTACTTTCAATGGAGAGAAACACAACAATGTGAACACCATCAAATAACTCATTTGGCAGAAGAGTCCAACCCAAATTCAATTTCCAATTTCAATCTCAGACAGAAGACAAATTTTATAAATTTAATTAATAAATACATCCAGGGAAGTGCAGTCTGTATCCATATGCTCTAACCGGAAAGAAGTCAAATGCTCCCTGTGAGCTGCTTCTCTCTAGTTATTTGGCAACATCAACACACCCTTGGTACCATGTTCCTGGTAATTACTATCCAGAACTACCTTCACATATATGGTCTTATATTAAGGGAATATGGAAAGGGATTTTTGTGCATGGTCCCATTTCAAGTCTTCACATTAGAAGTTCTGCAACAAATACTTCTAGGCACTTTGGGATGATTTTCTTGACATTATCTTATACATGAATGAATGACCAAGCTTTAAAATGCAAAGTAGGACCCCAATTTTGTCCTTTGAGATCTGATTTCTTTCAGACATCCACATATTTGACAGTGAAGTCTCTATCCAGCATCTGTGAGGACGGATCAGCCGAAAGGCCAGACTATTACATGGGTTGAAAACTGGCTGGACTGCTGAGCTCAGAAGGTAGTAATTAATGATTTGACATCCACTTGGCAGACGGTAACAAGCAGAGTTGCCAGGGGCCAACATGGGGACTCAACCAGAATCGTTCGTTATCGTTAAGTGTCTCCATCAGCTACCTGGACGACAACACACACTGTGCTCGCAACATGGTTCTGCCTGAGAGGAAGTGATGGAGACCACGAATGGCAGAGCTTCAACCCAGAGAGACCCTGAGCAACTGGAGGACCAGCTAGCACCAAACTCCGGAAATGCAATGATAGGAAAGGCAAAATTCGACACTTAGGGGCAGAAGCACTGCAGGACCTGTATGGGCTGGGAAAGCACACCCCGAAAAGCACCGGGTACTACAGCAGATGCCAAACAGTGAAAATCACCAGTGCATTCTCATCGCTACTACAATAAACCAAACATCAGGCTACATTAGGAATAGTGTGGTCAAAGAGAACTAAAATTACCGCTAAACAGAAGCCTGCTTAGTGAAGGAAAAGATTTGCAACAGAGTAGTTTGTAAATATTTCCAGAAAGAGAGAAGAAAGTACCCAATAGGACAGAGTTGGTACATGATGTGCACCACAGGAGCACCCAGGCAGCTTTACATGGTCAGTACTTGGAAAACATATGTCCTGCTCACGCTTCAGACTGGAATTAAGGTCTACAGCCTTATAGGTCTACTGTAAGGTCATACACAGGAAGCACAGGCAAACACAATTAAGCCTCAAAGTAGGTCTAATCTTCCCCACACAATGAATATGTTATTAGACAGCAAAGAACTGTGCTTATTTTTCAGTTTCTTTTTTTTTTTTTTCAGAGCATCCCCAGTTATCTGAGAAATTTTGAGATTTTTTTCCACTTTGAGAAATTATTTAAGGACAAATCTGTTTACCTGGTGCTTCAAATGTCCAGAGTGACCAGGATCCAAGTGACTGACCAAGTGAACTGCACCTCATAGCATTTCCCTGCTGCTTCTAGCCCTGACTTAAACACTCTGCAAGCAGAACCCCAGAGCAGCCTGCAACTCCTAGGATTCCCCCTGACATCGCAGACAGTTTGTTTAGGTGCAGGTCACTGGCAGATGGGCTGGCTGCTTATATAGGCTGCATCATCTCATTCATTTTTTCCACTAAATTGACAGTGCTCTCTAAGAGCTTGGCTTCTTTTCCTCCCTGCACCAACACACTGGACACTCTCACCCAGCATGTGGGGATGCAGATTGATCAACAGCCTGCGCTCCCACCACTCGCGACAGCCACCCGTGTCGCTCCCCCGTATGCTGTTAGCGTTGCAGGGTAGGTTGTTTGCTAACCCCAAACAACCCCCCTGCTCCCCTCAGGCGCTAGGTGTACGATGAGTGAGCTTAGGGTACAGATTTTTCTTATTTTTTTTTAACAAAGGTGCTTGTGAAATAGCTGCATGAATCTCAGTGCCACTTGTCTCATTGCTACATGGTGGTGGGAAATGAATCATGCAAAGGAGTACTGTGAAGACAATTAAAAATATTGTTTCTTACCTATCTCTTAAGGCTGGGACCAATCCTGTTCCCTTGGAAATCAAGTAGACTCGTGTCACTCTGTGAAAGCAAGATTCTATTTTTAATGCTTATGTATATATTTTTAAGATTTTTAGTTTCAACACACTCCAAATAAATAATATTAGTAGTAGTAACTATCACTCCTGTATGTAACCACTGGCAATTTCTTAAAACAAGGGTTAAAACTAAGCAGTGAAACTCCTCCATGCATTGGCAGTGGTCTTCAAGCAAAACCATACAACCTCCCAGACCAAGGACAAACACAAAATCACTGAGCACATGGGCACAGGGGACCCAAGTGCACAGAGGGCCAGAAAGAAGCCATACAGTCTGTTAAGTTTGCCCTGGGGGTGTCTCTTTCAGTGTAGATATTGGAAATAATAATAATTTTTTTTAGAAAAATTTATTTTTTAACACTTCATCATCCAACAACCTTTGGCCTGGCCAGCCTATATAAAAACAACCACTGCCACTTTGGCAAGAAGGCTCTAGTCCATATGAAAGGCAGGAATGAGTTTTAAAGCTAAACTTTGAGGAGGTGA